CTAATGCCAGCGCCGCCTCTAGCTCACCGAGCTCCAGCTGAAGGAGAAGGGGCGTAAGTAAGGAGATCTCTATACCATGACTGTACAAAGCAGACTGCCCACAAATCCACTGGTGGTAAAGCACCCAGGAAGCAACTGGCTACATAAGCTGCTTGTAAGAGTGCGCCCTCTACTGGAGGGGTGAAGAAACCGCACCGTTACAGGCTGGTACCTAGCACTCCGGGAAATTAGACGTTATCAGAAGTCCACTGAACTTCTGATTTGTAAATTTCCCTTCCAGAATCTGGTGTGAGAAATTGCTCAAGGCTTAAAAACAGATCTGTGCTTCCTGAGTGCAGCTATTGGTACTTTGCAGGAGGCAAGTGAGGCCTATCTGGTTGGCCTTTTTGAAGACACCAACCTCTGTGCTATCCATGCTAAACATGTAACAACTATGCCAAAAGACATCCAGCTAACATGCTGCATATGTGGAGAACGTGCTAAACAATCCAATTAAAAAATGGGCAGAGGACCTGAATAGACATTTCTCCAAAAAGGACATACGAATGGCCAATAGACATATGAAAAAATGCTCAACATCACTAATCATCGGAGAAATGCAAATAAAAACCACAATGATATATCACCCCATACCAGTTAGAATGGCTATCATCAACAAGACAAATAATAACCAGTGTTGGAGAGGCTGTAGAGAAAAGGGAACCCTCATACACTGTTGGTGGGAATGCAGATCGGTGCAGCCGCTGTGGAAAGCAGTGTGGAAGTTCCTCAAAAAATTAAGAATAGAATTACCATATGACTCAGTAATCCCTCTCCTGGGTATATGAGTATACCCGAAAAATCTGAAAACATTTATCCATAAAGATATATGTGCTCTGATGTTCACTGCAGCTTTATTTATGGTGGCCAAGACATGGAAACAACCAAAGTGTCCTTTAATAAATGACTGGATAAAGAAGTTGTGGTAGGGGCTGGCCGAGTGGCTCAGTTGGTTAAGAGCATGAGTTTTGAGCAACAGGACTGCCAGATCGATTCCCACATGGGTCAGTGAGCTGTGCCCGAGCTGAGCTGCCACTGAGTTGCCAACAGGTGGCAGGATGGCTCAGCTCATGAGAGCACGAGCTCCTAACAAGGTTGCAGGTTCGACTCCTGCAATGTGATGGTGGGCTATGCCCCACCCCCACAACTAAGACTGAACACAGCACCCTGAGCTGAGCTGCCCTGAGCTGCCAAAGGGAAGCCAGACTGCTCAGTGGTTAGAGCGAGTGCTCTTAGCAACAAGGTTGCCAGTTCGACTCCTGCCTGGGATGGTGGGCTATGCCCACCCACAACTAAGACTGAACACAGCACCTTGAGCTGAGTGGCCCCAAGCTGCCAACGGGCAGCCGGATGGCAACTGGACTTGAAGCTGAGATAGTGCACCCTTCACAACTAAGATTGAAGGACAAAAACTTGGCTGTTCCCCTTCCCCAATTCCCCAACACTGTTTCCCTTCCCAAATTCCCCAATAAAACCTTTAAAAAAAAAAGTCATGGTATATATACACAATGGAATACTATTCTGCCATAAGAAAAGATGAAACAGTGCCATTTGTGACAACATGGATGGATCTTGATATTATAATGCTAAGTGAAATAAGTCAGACAGAAAAAGAGAACCATATGATTTCACTGATATGTGGCATATAAAACTGAAAACAATAAAACAAGAAAAACAAATGAAGAAACAAAACTCAGAGACAGACAATAGTTTAGTGGTTACCAGAGGGCAAGTGTGGGGGATAGGGGTGGTAGATGAGGGTAAAGGGGATCAAATGTATGGTGATGGAAGGAGAACTGACTCTGGGTGGTGAACACACAATGTGATATATAGATGATGTATTAAAGAATTGTACACCTTAAATCCATGTAACTTTGCCAGCAATTGTTGCCCCTAAAAACTTTAATAAAAAAAAATTAAAAAAAGAAGAATCCACTATGATGGAAAACATTTCATTCTTTAAAAAATATAAATTTCTCTTCTTCCTGTTATTGGTAGTTCTGAATGCTAGTTATTTTTTTTCCATGGGGTCAAAAGGTACCTAAGTATATGATTTCAAGTAGAAAAATAGGGGAAAGAAATCAGGTATTGGCAGTTTTTCCATTTTCATTAGTGTGTGAATTTTTAATATAAATGCAGGGACAAGGCATTAATGCAAGTCAAAAGTTTCAGTGAACCAGTTTCAGGAGTTCAACTTTGTAACAATTATAAATAAACCTGTTAAATTTTTCTGGACAATACCAGCATTTGGGTATTTTTAAAACAAATTTCTTATTGATGGCAACTAAATGGTGCTTGTAGCATTTTTATCATACAGTAGATTCCATCCATTCACTACTTTTCTGAGTTGTCCTACATGCAAGTAAATGTTTTTAAAGTTGTCTGTCTTCTGTGCTGTTTCTGTAGGTTTGCTATTAAAATACATTAAACTGTAAAAAAAATTATATATATATACATATATATTATATATATATATGTATATATATATATACATATATATATATATATATATATAAATAATATATATATGGTGAATGCTGCTGCCAAGTGCAATTCAATGGAAAGGCAGGAATATTCAATATGGGAAGCAGTGCATGGAACGTTAGTAACAGTGTGTGACAAGTTTCAACTTGTTCGGTGCAGTCAGTTGGGTGTGAGCTACAGTTGAGAGAAGGTGTATTTTAAAGTGTGCAGTAAATCGTCCTCCATCATGACAGTGCTCTGTGTCACACACTGCTTCTAGTATATGGCAATCTCTGTCAAATAAAAACATTACGATGTGTCCTCATCTACCTTATTCACCAGATCTGGCACTATGTGACTTCTTTGTGACTTTGTGACTTTGACTTTGGCTCCTCCCCAAAGTCAAAATGATTCAGGACATCGAGGCAGCCACAACAGCACAACTAAAGACACTCACGAAAGAGGATTTCCAGAACTGCTTCAGAAAGTGGCAAGAACGATGTGATAAGTGTGTTTGAAGCGAGAAGGAATATTTTGAGGGGGATTAATGACAATGTGTCTTTTACTATGATAAATTTTATTTATTTAAACATTCACCGTATTGTTTGATCACACATCGTACTTTAACTTTCCCTCAAACCCACTGAACAAGAGTAAAGAATTTTTTAAAATCTAAAACCACAAAGATGAAACAAAAACAAAACAGAAGAAGAGACAAAAGCAACAAAATCTGGAACTAGAAGCAGATGGATGGGGTAGAATTTCCTGATTTAGCAAGCCCCAAAGAGCCGAATCCTAAACTAAACAGGGAAAGCTAAGAAGCAATCAAATCACACTTATACTGTCGAACTCCCAAATGTTCTGAAATAAGCAGCACTGGTTACTTTGGCAAGAAGGGATGCAACTGTACTAAAATAGGAAAATTGTTTGAAAATCTATTCAGGCAGCACCTGGATCCCTAGTTCCTCTCCCCAAAACTGCACAGTCAACAAATGTCCCTTCCTCTTAGCAGACTGGAAGTTCACTCTTGAAAGAGACTAAAACAGAGGGTCTCTGACCTAGTGGATACCAGGCACAACTGTGGGAAGGGGATCATACTACAAACAAGGGGAGTAAATGTATATACTGGGGGTGCCAAAAAATTTATACAAATGGACACTTTGGTCAATGTTGCTCAAGCAGTAGTTTGCCGTAATCAGAAGTGTCTAGATGCTAATGGTGACCACTTTGAGCACTCTTGGAATTGCAGAAGTCAAACATGACTTGTATCCATCTTTTGTTATCGGTATATATTGAGTATTACAATTTTAATAGTTTTTTCTTTCTTAAAATGTGTATCATTTTTTTGGCACCCTCTGTATTTATGCACACGTTTCCAATAGTGAAATGCCCAGCCCTCTTTCCATCCTGGCTCCCAGAACACTGGCAACCAGCCCTTCATACTCCCAGTTGAACAGAAGTTCCCTTTTCAAAGAATCTAATCATCTAGGAGGAAGGACCTAAAGATGTTGAGGTTAGAAATATTCAAATGAAATGACCTGGCTGGATCACCCTCCTGAGAAGCCACAGTTAAGAAATTCTGGCCGGCCGAGTGGCACATTGGTTAAGAACTGGCTTGGGACGCCAGAGGGCCCCGGTTCAGATCCCACATATGAGGGCCAGTGACGCTGCCCTCTATAGCTAAGATGCTGAACAACAGCTCAACCTGGAGCTGGGCTGCCGTGAGTTGCTGGCGACGGCGTAGGCTGCAGTCCCTGTGGCAGTGGGTTGCCATGGGCTACCGTGTGTAGCCAGCAGCCAGCGTGAGCGGCCAGCAGCCGCACTGAGCGGCCGTCCAGAAGCCAGTGACTGATCTGCCTCACCCAGGAAGAGCACAATTATGGTGCCAACTTGGGCCAGTGAAGCAACATCCTCCACAACTAGACTGAAGAACAAAAACAACAGCAACTTGTTTGTTCCCCTTCCCCCAATTCCCCAGTGCTGTTCCCATCCAATTCCCCAATAAAAATCTTTAAAAAAAAAAAAAAAAGAAATTCTACCACCACTCTCAAAGCTTCCAACCAGCTTTCTGATGGCGTCTTTCAATAATGGTGAGCAATCGCCACCAAACATTTGAGAAAAGTATGTATGTGGACAAACTGAGACTGAAACAAAAATGTGGAAAAGGCAACCTCTTCAGGGAGAAAACATTTTTTTTAAATAATGTTAATATCCAGAGACATAAGACATTGCACACATGAGCAAAACTATTCCTTTAAATTAAAAACAGAGAGGAACAAGAACAAAAGAGCCATCAGAAATTTAAAAACATGAAAGCACTGTCTTCTCCAATGTTTGTGGGTACTGGTTCATCCCCTGGGTTAGGGAGGCCCCTTCTGACTTAAAGCTTAGCCTTCCACCCCATCCACTGCCCATTCCCCAGTGCCCGCACTCTCCCCTGACTCTGCCCGCCAGCCTCCAACCTCCACCTGCAGTCCTCAGCCTAGCCCAGCACTCACACAGTCTATATTCTCTGTCATGTTCAGAATGATGTAGTTTTTCCCAGCCAGATTGCTCCAGTCTTTGCAGATCACCTGTATAATGAAACAAAAGAAGGGTGACAGTTATAAAGGCATAAGGAGCGGCATCCAGAGAGAGCATGAGTGGCAACTCTTTGAGAAGCCAGAAGGTGAAGGCCAAGTATAGGTCTGTGATAGTTAGGTAGGAGCTGACAGCCTCTGCAAGGCAACATGCCCAGGGTCCAACCCAAGATTCACAAACCCAGACGTCTTTAGGGGCCAAGCAAGAGGAGGCCAGGAATGGCACAAAGGAAGGGGGAACTGTGCCAAAGGGGCCAGATTGCAGAAGGCTTGCCCCAGCTAGAGAAAAACTTGTTTTTAATGTTCTATAGGCCAAACAAAAACATGCCTGTGGGGCAGATTCACAGGCTAACAACTTGGGATGCCTTTCCTTTCCTTCCGGTGTTGGGGGGCGTGAGCACTGACTTGGGCATGTGCATGCACCCGTGTGTGTGTGTGTGTGTGTGTGTGTGTGTGTGTGTGTGTGTGTGTACTGGGCAGGAATAATGAGGGGAGGAGCAGAGGGTGACTGCACATATGGTGCTGGGCATGGAAACAGTGCTGGAGAGAGCACAGGTCAGGCACCAACTCTCTCCACTGTCATAAGCAGTGTGGAAGCCAAGAGTAGCAGCAGTTACACCTAAACAAATGAAAACTAGGCCAGAGTACCAGGCTTTTCCAAAACTTCTCCTTCGTATGTAAGTGCACTGAGGATACCCACTGCTGGGCCATGAGGTCTGCATCCCCAACAGTTCTGCTGAGGCTCTATGTGGTGGCAAGGGCCTTCATCCTTGGCCCGGCAGACTTCCCACTTCCCTGTAGCCCCAGGATGGCTGATGGCCTGCATGCACCTCCACGTTACCTGAGTAGAATCCCAGGGGATTCTGGATTGAGCTTCAGCAGCCTGCCCTTCCTGGGGCTGCTGGCTGAGGTCTTCTTGTCCCAAGGCGGCAGCAGGTGTCAGCTCCATGTCTTGGGAGGCCCGGGGGAGAGCAGCTGAGGCTCCAGGGTAAAGGGAGTCTTCACCTGGGGTCTCAGCCCCACTGGGGGCTTCTGCTTGAGGGAATGAGGCCAAGGACAGCACCTCCCCTTGCCTGCCAACCAACCCAGCTGTTCCCACAGTAGCCTCCTCACTTGCCTCCCGAGGGGCCTCAAATTCTACCTCATGCCCTGCAGCTGGCAGCATTGTGCCCCCTGCCTCCTGGCTGGCAAAGTCCTGACCTCCCAGGGTCACTGTACTTGGGGTAACTGAGGGCGGTGACAGGCTTGGCTCCATGTTGCTCCCCACCTCCACACCCGAGGAGGCCTGATCCCCAGAATCTTCGTGCCTATGTTTTGGGGTCCCTGGTGTCTGGCTGCTGCTGGTGGGAGAAAAGTCGTGGACCTGAGTCTGGGCTTCTTCCTGGGTTCCGTTTACAGGCAGCAGCTCTTCCTCCTCTTCCTCTTCTTCTTTCTCTACCTGTTCCTTCTCCTCCTCTTCCTCTTCCTCCTCTCCAAGAGCCACAGGCCAGGGTGGCTCCACCAGGTTCATCCTGGGCAAGGAAGAGGGGAGGCTCGGCATCTCTTGACCCTGGCTGGTGTCTTCTACAGGACCTGCCTTTTCAGTTAAGTCTGGAAAACCATAATCTAAGGACAGAGATGGAAAATTCATTCACTAGTTTCATCATTCATTGATTTGTTCAGTATTTGCTGCACATTATATTATGCAGATGACATAAAAGAGCCATGTCTCCCACCCTCAGGGAGATGGTGGGGAGGTCGCACTGTTGGCTGTGTTGGAAAGGAGTGGGAAACAAGGCTGGGTAAGGGGCAGAGGCGGACTGGCGGGAAACAAAGGCCAGGCTGGTCCTCGTTTCCTTCATGAGAATAAAAATGACACGAATCTGCCATGAAAATTCCATGAATATTCCATGAATACATGAATGTATAAAGTATAAAGAAAGTTTGTATGACTGCACCCCTCAGATAGTCCTTGTTAACAGTTTGATGGGTTAGCTTCTCTACTGTTTTTATAATGTATTTGTGTTTTCTCATCTGGAGATTTCACCAAGAAGACCCCATAACAACCCATTAGAAAGGGTTCCCCTTATGAGGTCTGAGGACCCTTTAATCACAGGAACAGATGAGACCCATAGATTATGACCACTGTTCCTAAACTGTGCTCTTATTCTATAACTCAGGCCCTGACTGGGAAATGAAATAGGAGAGCTAGAGAGAGAGGTCAGGGACTCAGGTTTTCAGAGCCCTCAAAAACTTACAGGGTCACTGTTGGCAATGGGAGAGAGGAGATTTTTCTCCCTGTTATTCTGGGAATTACATTTTGAAGCAGAGAAATTAGGAGACCTTCTGGAGACCAGGACATTTTCTGGCTTTTCAATGAATCCTAGGCCTTTTCAGGATAATGACATACAAAAATTATAGACCAGTTTTGTCAGAAATTCATGTGAAATATCAGAAGCTATATCTAGGTAGCAACTTTTATTGGCTGCCATTTTGTTTCAAAATCATAAATATCAAAGACAGCTTTAAAATACTTCTTAGAAATGAGAGAGGTGGGAATAGTTTAAGGTGGTGAACTGAACCTACTCATTCTCCTCCTCCTCCTCCTCCTCCTCCAAAATTTCTGTCAAATGACAGAATTTTTTTTTTCATGGTCAAAATGAAAGTTTTAAAAGTTTAGATAAGTTTCTGGGAACATGGAAAGCAGATGAGATCACAGCCAAAATAGACATATGAAAAGATAGCAGTGGAGGAGGGAGGCTCTCTTACCAACAGAGTTAAAAACCAGAGAACAACTGTGGAGTTAGCAAAGATATGGAACATGGAAAATTCAAGGAACAGAATATAATTTAAAAATTCCAACTGGTATCCTCAAAAAGACCCAAAGATATTATATCCCTAAAATAAGAACAAGATAATAAGAAAATCAGGTAACGTGTAACAAAGAAAAAGTTATTGGAAATTTACATTCAATTGTTGAAATGTACAAATTCAATAGAAGAGCTAGAAAAAAATGTCAAGGGAAAGTCTCCAGAGCAAAAGCAAAACACAATATTTTAAAAAAATCATCTTTTTTCCCAAAAAGACAGAACCAATAAAATAGAGAGAATAAATAGCCAAAGAAAGAAGAAAATTTCCTGGGCCTGGCAGCATGAATCTTCATATTGAAATGGTATATAAACAAGGTGAATGATAGAAAACTCATATCTAGCCTAATTCTTATGACATTTCAGAGTTCTAAGGGGCAAGAGAAGATCCTAAAAGTTCTCAGAGAAAGAAAAGATTATCTATAAAGGAACAAGAAATATTGTCAAATTATCATCAAACTTCTAATTATTAATAATAACACTAAACTGCAGGAAGGGAATTGAAAAATGCATTCCAAATTCTCAGGGAAGTTTATTTTGAACCTGGAATTTCATACCCAACTAAACCATCATTCAAGTGTGATAACAAAATAAAGACATTTTTATATATGCAACAACTTAAAGGTGTTACTTTCCACAGGTTCTGAGAGAATTGTTTAAAGAAGTTGTCCAAGAAATCACCCACAAAAAAGACATGGGAAATCAAGAAATGAGAGGACTGTCATAGAAATAAATTTCAGGATGGAAGCTGTATAGCAGGCCTAGAAAGCAATTATCCAAATTAGAACAAGAATTTAGAGAGCTCTGAGAATTATTACAAAAAGAAAAATGGATTCCCTATAAGAAAAAGTATGATTTTTAGAAGCTGAATGATCTTAGTGATCACTGAAAGCTCACTATAATATTTAAGTAAATAATTCAAATATTCTACCCACCCAACTTTTGCTATTTATATGGCTCTGTTTGAGTAGTGCAGACTTAGTAACTTAAGACCTTCCATTCCTCTACCCCTCTGCACACACCCTGTAGGGAAGCTTACCTATTCCCAATGCAAAACAGCCAGTCATGACACTCAGGGGAGAGGCCTTCCACTGGAATAGTGACCAAAGAACTGCTGAGGAAACCCACACCAGACTCTAACACTAAGCAATCTAGTATCATTTTTATAGATATGAAAGAACAATCAAGGTTTACAGGACATTTGAGGAAATCTGGGTACATTAAAAAGCATGAGGGTGAAAAAGCAAAGCAACTGACCTCTGAGAGAAGAGTTAATCTAGTAAACAAAAGAGAACTTAGAAAAAAATTTGTATTAACATCTTCAGAGATATTCAAGAGGAAAGTATACCCATAAAACAAGTATATAGAAGAATAAAAATATTTTACTTCCATATAAACAAGAACTTTATAATAGGCAGATGTGTTTAAAATTGAAATGCAGGGGATCCACGATGGTGAAGTAGAGAAACACTGTGCTGGCCTCCTCCAGTGACAACAGTATAATCACAACGAGAGCTCTCCCCACTCTCAGCGTGCAAACACAGGCGGCCACCATATCTGAGTCTCCATCAACCTGTCTAACACTGCTGCTTCACCCTGATTCCCGAGACCCTATCCCACCCAACTCTTTGTCCCTTCCACACTGCTTGCAGCGGCTTTTCCATATAAACAGCCTGCCTTGGCTCATGCTGTGGACTTTTCTAAAATTTCTAAAAGGTTCACAAAACCCAAACAAGCAGCATCTGGCTTCGGTGTGTTCTGTAACTGTGGCTGAGCAGCCCTAAGCCCAGCACCAGCAACAGCCGGGCTCTGTTTGCAGCTTGGCCTCTTGAGGCACTTCCAAGCCCCGTGTGAGTGGCAGCCACCTACAGATTTGATTTTTGGCTCAGGCCAGGTGGCCCTGGGCAGCTCATAGGCTATGGCTGAACTTGGCCTGCAGTGGGGCCTGTCACAGGAAGCCCCAAGGCTGGCAAGCCTGGTGGCCAGCTTTAGACCCAGCTGGAGCACCACCCCACCCAGCAGCCTCCAGGGAAGACAGACACAAAGGGCATACTGTGCAGGCACCAGAGCCCTGCTAAAACAAATCCTGCTCTGTAGGGTCAGCCCCTGCACAACAGCTCTTCCACAGCAGTCATGGCCCATTCTCACAATCAATCAGCCTGAGGATTGATCCCTCCCATTGATATACAAACAGCAACCAAGGCTCAGCTACAACAGGAGGGCACATGCAATCCACACAGGGACACACCTGGAATACCCGGCTCAGGTGACCAAGGAGACTGCACCACTGAGCTCCATAGCACACCTATTACATAAGGCCACTCTACTAAGACGGGAGACACAGCAGCCCTACATAATACATAAAAACATACACAGGGAGGCAGCCAAAATGGGGAGACAAAGAAACATGTCCCAAATAAAAGAACAGAACAGAGCTCCAGAAAAAGAACTAAACAAAATGGAGATAAGCAATCTACAAGACACAGAGTTAAAAACACTGGTTATAAGAATGCTCAGTGAACTCAGGGAGAACTTCAACAAAGAGACAGGAAACATAAAAATGGAGATAGAAAATATAAAAAACAACCAGTCATAAATAAAAGAATACAATAACCGAAATGAAGAATAGAGGGAATCAACAGTAAGATTAGATGAAGGAGAAGATCGAATCCGTGATTTAGAAGATAAAGTAGTAGAAAACACCCAAACAGAACAGCAAAAAAAAAAGAATCCAAATAAATGAAGACTGTTTAAAGGGCCTCTGGGAAAACATTAAGTGTAACAACGTTTGCATCATAGGTGTATCAGAAGGAGAAAAGAGAGAGCAAGGAATTGAAAATCTATTTGAAGAAATAATGATGGAAAACCTCTCTAACCTGGAAATAAATATATAAACCCAGGAAGTACAGAGAGTCCCCAACAAGATGAACCCAAACAGGCCCACACTAAGACACATCATAATTGAAATTCCAAAAGTTAAAGACAAAGAAAGAATCTTAAATGCAGCAAGAGAAAAGCAGTTAGTTACCTATAAGGGATTTCCCATAAGTTTGTCAGCTGATTTCTCTACTGAAACTTTGCAGGCCAGAGAAACTCGCAGGAAATATTCAAAGTGTTGAAAACCAAGGATCTATAACCAAGATTACTCTACCCAGCAAAGCTATCATTTAGAATAAAAAGACAGATAAAGAGCTTCCCAGACAAGAAAAATCTAAAGGAGTTCACCAACACCAAACCAGAATTACAAGGAACCTTAAGGGACTTCTATAAGACAAAGAAAAAAAAAAAAGATAAAAAATATGAACAATAAAATGACAATAACTACACATCTATCAACAATTACTTTAAATGTAAATGAATTAGGTGCTCCAATCAAAAGATAGCATGGCTGAATGGATAAGAAAGCAAGACCATTACATATGCTGCCTACAAGAGACTCACTTCAGATCAAGACACACACAGACTAAAAATAAAGGGATGGGAAAAAGATATTTCATGAAAATGGAAATGGAAAAAAAAAAAAGCTGGAGTAGCAATACTTATACCAGACAAAATAGACTTTAAAGCAATGGCTATAACAAGAGACAAAGAAGGACCCAGTAACCCCACTTCTGGGTTATTTATCCGAAGAAACCCAAAACACTACTTCAAGGGGACATGTTGCATCCATATGTTCATTGTAGCATTGTTTACAGTGGCCAAGATGTTGAGGCAGCCTGGGTGTCCACCAATGGATGAATGGATAAAGAGTACGTGGTA